CACACACACACACACACACACACACACACACACACACACACACACACACACACACACATATTTTTTCCTTATCACTCATTGATTGATGGGCATTTGGGCTGGTTCTATATTTTTGCAATTGCAAATTCTGTTGTTACAAACATGCATGTCCAAGTATCTTTTTCATATAATGACTTCTTTTCCTCTGGGTAGGTAACCCAGTTAGTGGGATTGCTGGATCAAATGGTAGTCCTACTTTTAGTTCTTTAAGGAATCTCCACACTGTTTTCCGTAGTGGTTGTACTAGTTTATGTTCCCATCAGCAGTGTAAAAGCGGTCCCTTTTCACTGCATCTCTGCCAACATCTATTTTTTTTTCTTTTTAGATTATTCCCATTCTTGCAGGAGTAAGACAGTATTGCATTGTGGTTTTGATTTGCATTTCCCTCATCATTAATGATGTTGAACATTTTTTCATATGTTTGTTGGCCATTTGTGTATCTTCTGAGAATTGTCTATTTGTGCCCTTAGTCCGTTTTTTGATAGGATTGTTTGTTTTTTTCTTGCTAATTTGAGTTCCTTGTAGATTCTGGATATTAGTCCTTTGTTGGATGTATAGGTTGTGAAGCTTTTTTCCCACTCTGTGTGTTGTCTGTTTAATCTGCTGATTGTTTATTTTGCGGTGCAGAAGCTCTAGTTTATTAAAGTCACACCTATTTATCATTTTTTTTGTTGCATTTGCTTTTCGGTTCTTGGTCATGAAGTATTTGCCTAAGTCAGTGTCAAGAGGGTTTTTCCAATGTTATCTTCTAGAATTTTTATCATTTCAGGTCTTAGATTTAAGTCCTTGATCCATCTTGAGTTGATTTTTGTATAAGGTGAGAGATGAGGATCCAGTTTCATCATTCTACATGTGGCTTGCCAATTATCCCAGCACCATTTGTTGAATAGGTTTTAATTGGTAGCACTTTTTGTTACAGGATCTGTTGTAGAGTTCTTAATATGCTATATACATTCAGATCCAAACATTAACTGATTCTTTAAGTATTTACTCATATTTCTCACTATAATATTTCTAGTTACACTCGACAACCTCTTTTAACTCCTTGAGAACAAGCAGGAATTATATTATTTTTGTCAGTTGATTATATGGCTCAATAGACACAAATATAGCAGCCCTCCAAACAATTTAATATAACTGCATTGGATATACTGAATTCATACTACAATAGTATGAGTTTTTAAATTTTATTGAAACACATGAGAATGCCATAAATTTTTGTGCTCAATTTCTACCCAATATCCTTCCATTAAGTGGAATCATTCTGGCAACTGACAAGTTTGCTTAATTTGGCCTTCACCCATTACTACCATCAGAAATAGAAGGTACAACACCTGTCTGAGCCCTGCTCTATTTCATCACAGTGTTTTAGCAGGGGCTGTTAATCCACTTTTATCCACAAATAGAAAAGAATAAAACAATCCAAACACTAATAATACGCTTAGGTGCTACTACCACTACATTTATAGCAATTTGTGCTCTAACACAAAGTGACATCAAAAAGATTGTCACGTTTCGTACCTCAAGACAACTAGGTCTTAGAATAGTCATTATTGGTATTAATCAGCTACATCTAGCACTTCTCCACATTTAGACACATGCATTCTTTAAAACTATGCTATTTATATATTCAGAGCCATAATCGACAACCTTAATGATGATCAAGATATTCAAAAATAGGATGTCTACTTAAAGACATAGCCTTCATTCCTCCTCACTTATTATTGGAAGCCTTGCACTCACAGCATACCTTGCCTTACAGGCTTCTACTTCAAAGACTTATTTATCAAAACTGCAAACATGATATATACTACTGCCTGAGCCCTTTTAATCACATTTATCACCACCTACCTAACAGCTGTATACAGTACTCAAATTGTCTTTTTTTGCACTCCTAGGACTACCTAGTTTTTCAACTTTCATTATTATCAATGAAAATAACTCCCTCTTAATTCAATTTAATATTTAACAATTGGCAGTATTTTTGCTTTTTTAAAAAAATTACCAACAACATTTCTCCTATAACTGTTCCCCAAATGACTATGCCATTATACCTAAAACTTTCAGCCCTTGCTGTAACTATCTTAGGCTTCATTATAGCAATTAGAATTTAAACTAATAACATCTAATCTGAAATTTGAATTATCTCCATACATATATAAATTTTTTAACTTTCTAGGATTTTTCCAACAGTTGTTCACCATTTAACAGTATACTCAAACCTTTCTAAAAGTCAGAGCATCACTTTAACTAAACTTGACTAGAAAAATACCAAAAATTATCTCATCTCCAAATAATAGCCTCAGTAACTGTCCCTAACCAAAATGGCCTAATTAAATTATATTTCTTCTATTTATTCATTTTATTTTTATTAGCTATACTTCTAGCCACTTAATTACTCTGAGTAATTTCAGCAACAAAAAAAATATTAACAAAGGGATCAGTCACTTATGACCATTAATCAACTTCATTAACTGTACAATGCAGCCACACCTATAGTATCTTCACAAAGAAGCCCAACTTCTTCACCCTCAAAAATCACCCAATCCATCCTGGTCAACACGGTGAAACCC